AACTTGTGTCGCTAAAGTTTCGTCGGAACGAAGTTACGGAAAGTTAATTAACAAACGGAGACGTAACAATATATATTAAAACCTTAAAAAATTATTTCGTTTCATATCATCCACATTCAAAATTTCTTAAGGCTTAGCAACCTACGTCAAGCAGCAACCAAGTACAAAGGTTGTAGCTAGAAGAGATAATTGATTGCTTTATTCTTTATTTACTGTACTATGTTTTAATAAAAATAAGTTTAAAAACTTATTTGGAAATAGTAACAATACATATATAATGTATTACAACTGAAATCTGACTGTATTTTACAAAATACTAGTCCACTAAAGCACACCCAAAACAGGTCCGTTTGTAAAGACTAAAGGTCAGTTTATACTATTGGATAGAGTAACAAATGCACATGCGCCTCATTATTGTAACTTCTCTATTAGTAGGCCAGCACAACTGGAAAGTCAATATAATAAAAATAATAAATATATATAAATGTATAATCTTATGAGATTTATGTTATTTAGACTAAACATTTGTGTTTTCATGTTATAATTTGTAGTCATTCTAGAATAAAAAAACATGATTTATATTTATTTCCTAATTTTTTATCGTGATTACAAGGTCGGTCCAACTGACAGACCCCATATAGTTAGGGTAAAGAAAATAACAGACAAAATATAAAGTTTTACTGAAAATGAGCATTTGAAATGTATTTAGGAAGTTTTAGATATTTCACAAATAATATTTTAGATTTCTGGGATGAAGAATAGTTTTTTAATCATGACAGGAAAATCACTTTGCACTCGAACAAAACAGACAATATTTTCCCAAACAAATCTTTAGTAAAAATACTTTTTGAATACAAAAGACTTGGAATCATTACTAAAAGTCTACCCAATTTTGTGAAGATACACATACAGCATTAAAAGTTATAGTATAAATACTTAACGTGTGCAAACTTGCATACAAACTCATGTATTTTATAACGAGCCCATCACGAAAAGGCTAATATGAAGTTGAGAGATTGCTATAATTATATCAAAATAAAATTCATAGAAAAACAACTGTAAACTTGTCTGATATATAATAACCCATTGAAAGACACAAATCCTATGAAATTTTAACAAATATTAATACAGCAGTGGCTAAAGGCATTTTAAGGGTTCTTCATGTTCTTAAGAAAATTCATTGCATCATACAATTTTATAAAAAATAAAGGCTAATATAATAGAAAAATAAATTGGAACAAAATAGTATTGTACACTTTAAAACAATTGGATCAATTTTAAATAGATAACTACTAACCATATGTTTCTGGTATTCTGAATTACATTTAATGCACACAGTAACTGGTATGCATTAAAAACAATCTATTCTATGTATAGTTTTATCTGACAATGTGAATTTGATGAGGAAGTACTGATTAACAGCTTTGTGTGCCTAAAGAAAAGGGAGGGAGTTTGTGTATTGTATTTGATGACAAAGGTGATTTTTTTGTAGATCATAAAACATATCTGCTTCCTATCATCT